TTACATATGCACGTATACATACACTCATATGTACACACATACATACATACATACATACATACATACATACATACATACAAAAATGCAAAGTCATTTACTCATGCATGCACACATTCATATACCCTGTTATTTATAGTACAGGTTTAAGAAGTCAGAACAACTCTGGAGATCTTCTTAAAAATAGCAGTAGATTTTCTTAAATATTAGGATGTATGTTAAAGCATTTTAGATAATTATTACACTTAAATAAATGGGGACAGGTTCATTTTTATTTTCTATAGATTAAAGACACTTCTCCTAAACCTATAAATGACCCCTGTAGGTTTAGGAGATATGCCTGTTTTCTCCCCCATCTCTCTCATGCCCTCTGTTCTTTGCACTTCTTCATATGCCCCCTAGACTTTCCCATCACCACGGTCCCCCCTGGACCTCTCCCCCAACTCCAGCACCCCTTCCATAACATATTTCCTGCACCTCCCATCACCTTTCCCCAGCCCTCTTAAATCATGGTCCCTTCCCATCTCTGCAGCCGCCCCTCCTTCTCCAATCACATCTCCGCAGCCCCTCCTTCTCCAATCACATCTCCGCAACCCCTCCTTCTCCAATCACAATGTCTACTCTCTCCTGAGGTGGTATTCATTGTAGCCAGGAATACCATCTGGAAACGAGCACATTAGCAGTCCTGAAACAAAATGGCAGCTATAGGTCCTTAGGGGGAGGAGGAAAAGGAAAAAATGGCTGCCATGTGTTCTGGAGGACAAGTGAAAGGGAACACAAGCAGCACTGTAAAAAAAAAAAAAAACAAGCTGCTTTGCCCCCTTAAGGAGAAGGAGGAAAAGGATGCCTAAATAGCACTAATAAATAAAAGTGGATGCTATGTGGCCTTATGGATGAGGAAGAAAAGGGTGCATGAGCAACAGTGTATACTCTTGAGGAGAAGGAAAAGAATCAGGAACTTTCTGCTAGATTGTATGATAGAGGTTGCAAGGCAAAGAACTTGGCCAAAAAATAAAAATAAATAGGAAAAGCTGATTTGGAAAAATTCTACAATTCAACTAACTTTTCAGTTCAGCTATGTTGTCCTAGATTGTTCACTTCTCCTGCCTTCTCCTAACTCTTCACCCTTTTGTGAATAAACCTGTTGGTGAAAGTTGGATGGCACAGGTGTTGCCTTTTCTGAAAGTTTCATATTTATTCAGTTTCAACTTTTACTGACATTGCTTTACAGTCTAATACACCTCTGTGCTAGTAATACATTAGTTATATCTTACAATGAAATTAAAAAATTCAATGACTTCATGGAAATATTTATGTAGCATATTCCATGGCTGCACACAATCAGGGCTTCATGTCCTTACAGCTGGAACTACATATGGTTTCATTATAAACCATAATTGCTTTGGATAGCCTCACGCTCTAATGGTGTTAATAACAGCTAACTAGTCTTAAACATTGATTAAATGACAGCTATGATCTATATTTATTTTTGTTGTCTCTATGTAAGACATTTACAATGCAGTTCCTTTTCAGAGTGTTTGAGGCAGCATTCATTTGTAAGGTCTATGACTTCAATAAACTGTAACACACTGTAGATTGTAGTAAAAAAACAAATACGTTTTCATTTGAATATGTGAAAAAAATGGCACAGCGCTTGCAACAGAAAATGTCAATTAACTCAATAATCAATGCAAAAGGTTAAACCCTATAACAATTAGCATACTTTCTAACATTGAACAAACTAGTATTCATTATATTTATATAGCAAAACCTTCAGTGTGTATATCTCACCTGTGTACAAAACATCAAATAAAAATAACAGTAATAATGTATCTAATATTTCCACAAAATACTTGTTGGATCATCAGTGAACAATATTTAATCCACACCTTCCACACTCACCAGAAAAAATGTGACCCAGTATATAATACCAAGGTCAATAACGCATCTACTTTCCATAGGTTATCCCAATTTGATCACGTAGGTAATAGCTGATCGCATCATCTACAGAGATTCCATCTTAGCCTGGATCCTCTTCTTTAAACGCTCTCCAACATTAATTACCCTTGGAATTTGTAGCATACAATACACTAAGGGATGCTCATAGGGTAGAAACGTGTATTGAATTAAAAGATAAAATCAAAACAAATTGCACTTATAAACTAGTTTCACCACAGCTGTAGGGTCACAGATTCCCCACCCCTGATATAGGTGAATCATAGCATGGCAAATTGTAAGGTTGGAGAGCCTTTAAGTAAGATGGCAAAGATGGAATCTCTGTAGATGAAGTGATCAGCTGTTACCTATATTATCAAATTGGGATAACCTTTAGAAAGTAGATGCGCTATTTTTTTTACTATTTCCAAGCACGGCCCTGGGTTTTTTTCCTTTTAAATTTAACAGTTTGCCCATGCGTCATGACGTCATGCACACTTTACTCCTGAAGGCCATCTCGGAGAGGATCGGTGAGGTGCCGGGTCCCTTTCTCTCTCACGCAGCTGTTGGGCTCTCGGTCAATGACCCAGTGCCTGACTTTTCAGAGGGGGTGACATCAAAATGACTGTAAGTCATTTTGGTGTCACGCCCTCTGATGGAATCACCTGGAATCGCACCCCCTGCACCCCCCTTGTGATGTCACTGCCTTTTACTAGAAATGCAGACATGCAAAGGAGATTTGAGGCCTGTGTTGTCTGATGAGCTTGCTTTTGACATTAGTTTGAAACTCTTCTGAAATCATTAGGAAGTCATTGGTAGGTGCATCTGATCTCCTTATGACCTGCTTTGAGCTGATTTTGTATTCCCATAGACTATGGGGAATTAAGCAGATCTGAGTAAAAGCCTGTAAAAATTTAATCTCCTTTACATTGCATGTACATATATTTATAAGTTCAAAACTTGCACAGTGATTATCAGGATTATCTTTAATTAGGGTTCATTAATTTATCTTGTTTCACCCCTTTAAGAGGATTACAGTAAAAAAGTGAGTGCGTGAGGGAAAGTCAGCTATACAGTCTAATTTCCAGGAACTGAGTGGGACTGAGAATTCTGAATAGCATCTATGAAAAATTAGAACAAAAAGAATCTGCCTGTGACATGTGTTGTGATACGAGAAGTTACTGTAAACCTGAAACTGTTTTTTTACGTTATGAAGCTATTCTGACTCTGCAAATAGAGAAACAGAGAGAGTTTTTTCTCTAGTTCTGCCATTCTAAACAAATTAACTTTAGAGTTAAGAAGTAATTTGTTCTAATGTTTTAACCTTAGTTTCAACTTTTTGGAGGCTCATTGAGAGTGACCATGCAGAGCACACCATGGATCCTGCACAGCCCATCTGGGACTCTCTATGGTGGACTCTGCAGGGTCTTAGGTGGGCTGATCGCCGGGGTCTATTTCCCTGTACCTCCTCCCAACTTCTCTTACCTGCTGCTGCTGGGGCCCGGCCTCCTCCACCCTTTCCCCTGTTACCTCTGCCATGCCGCCCCTGGTACATCTGATACCCATGCTCCCCCATATAATGCTGAATTAAATTTTACCAGAAAATTGCATGTGGGGGGCTAGCTCCCCCATATAATGCCACCTAATATCTGTGTTTTTATGTGAAATATCTCTGTAATTATATGAGATCTAGCATTAAAACCACTTGATCTTACCGGATCTAATGAAGGCCTATTAGCCTGAAAGACATTTTACCAGAAAATTGCATGTGGGGGGGCTAGCCCCCCCTCATTAATCACTTAATCACTTAAATCTGTAATTATGTGAGATCTAACAAAACAACTAGTTGATCATACCGGATCTAACAAATATCTTCCAAAATAGCTAACTGTTTGGTCAATTTTTTGATAAGGGGGGGCTGATGACGGGTTAGACCCCCCCAGCAAATAACTGTTAATATCTCTATTTCTGTGTGAGATCTAACGCAAACAACAAAGATCTAACCTGATCTAACAAAGATCTAACCAACTTCATACGTTTTGTTCAAACATTTTGATATGCGGGGGGCTAACATGGCTGAGGTTCCAAATCAGCTATTTTGGCCTAGATTGTTCACTTCTCCTGCCTTCTCCAAACTCCTCACCCTCTGGTGAATAACCCTGATAGCTGCCTAGCTGTTATGAACCACTTGCTTTGAAGGAGAACTATGAGGTGAGTGATTTTCACTCAACCTCATAGTTCGAGCCGCCGACATGTGACAATGAAACTGTCACGTCGGCTCAATAGATCGGGAAGTGAGCGAACACATACCATTGCTCGCTCACTTCTCGATCAAGTCCCTGAAAAGAGCCGTGACTGTCACTTATGGCTCCCTGCAGGGATTCCCGCTATCCCCGCTCTGATCCTCCAGCGCTGACTGGCGGAACAGACGGGGAGGGGGCGGGTACAGATGGCTCTGTCTTTAGATAGGCAGAGCCGGCTGTCAATCACGCTGCTGGGTGGATCTCGACAGTAATGTAGCTCGCGATATACTGAGCTTTGGGTCATGGGAGGACACTACTTTATGTCCTCCCGTGACCCTTAGGAGAACCATGGGGAAAAACACTTACCCCATTGTTCTCCTTTAATACTTTGAGTAATCGAGTTGGGACAAGCAAGGACTTTTGTCTTTCCTTTTCTGCACGCTTGTTGCGCCTTGTATGTATAGATGACTTTATAGGGAAATAAAAGGAAATTTGAACAGAGGGGTCCCTTGATGATTCATTTGCTGCTCTGCAATTACAGCATCAGAACAGAAAAGGGTGAAAGGCTTTGTTTGCAACCTTTTTTGATTTTCTAGATATATTAAAACAGCTTAAGAGTTTTAAATCTGCACTTATTATTTTCTCACGCTTGGCACAGACACAGACTTACCATTAGACACAACACAAGCATTAATAAGTAAAATAAAGGGCCCACTAGGGGAATCATTTGGTATTTATTCACCATAAATATTGTATGATACTGTGCATAAAAGGATGCATCCTATTCAATGTACTGTGCAGGTATTATAATTTTAATTTTTACAGGTACTGAGCATTATTCTTTTCATCGAATATTCTGTTGAACTGGCCAGAAGAAAGAGCTGCTGCCTTGAGATCAGCAATTATATTCGCCTTGGTAAGCACACAGTCATTACCTGAAGCTAAGGCTTGTTTTCAGACTATTAATATTTCTTATATGTGGTTGTGGTTTCCTGGGCTTCTGCATTTTCTTAAAGTGGCAAAGCGGAAATCAATGTTCATCATCAAGTGTGCTCATTAGACACTGTAGTTCTAGCTAAATTATCAGTAGCTGTTTTTCCACTAGAAAATAAACCAGAAATACAGTATGTTGTGATGACAGTGTTGTATGTGGATGAGTAGATTAGCAGTAATTCATCACTGAGGTTTGGAATTTGACATTAATACTGGAGGAGAAAATAAAATGCATTAACTGTTGCCAGACAAACATTGCCTGCAAAATCTCCCACTCCCTCTATGAATACAAATGGCATAGGAAAAACTTATCACTTAAAGTGAACCTATAGGCAGAAAGCTAAATTCACAGTTGGAAAACAAGTGTATGCTTTCTTGTGAGTCATAAAATGTGTTAAGGTCTGTGTATACAAGCTTTTGTTTGCATCAGACATGTTTTGCATTCCCATACTAATTCCCAAGTCTAATGCAATACCAGCATGAAGGAGGTCAGCTGCAGGCCAAATGCATCTATCAATGAATTATGTATGGTATCAGAAGAATCTCAAACAAATGTCAAACTGATGCCCTCAATTCAAGCCCAAAGCCGGCCCTAATGCTGTTCTTGCAATGTTGTGATCTAGACATTTCTACCAAACATCACAGCCAGGATCTGACCTCACTTTTCTCCACTGCAGTTAAAGCAATACTGCTTGGCAAGACCAGCAACTGGATAGTGAATATCAAAATGTACTCTTTTTGCAGCATAGATATAAAGAAAGTGCAGAAAACTCACAATAAACAGACATTAGCTCCACTTGCTGGCTGAACAGGCTAAACATGATATATTCATATGTAGAGCTGAGTTTTCATCACTGGAGGCCATAGAATTACAATCTTTGACCCCACAACAGGAGCAATATGGCTGGAAGTCAAAGAGAACAAATATAGAGGTGAAGAAAGCAAGCATGGATAGAAATAGTGTAGAATGATCAGTAGATTTGGAAGAAGATTTGGTGCTGATGAAAGTAGAAAAAGTGATCACAGAGGGTAGAGAAGCATGGATCAACGAGGATGAGAATGACCAGAGAACATCTCATGTCTGTAGGCAGCTTAAAGTAAACCAAACGTTGTTCAAATGGCTCCAAAACCAACATGCTGCTACCTTACTGTGCCCTCTGACTGTTTTGCTCTTCTGGGTCATTGTTATGAGTGATCCTATAGCAAATATGAACACCTGATATGTCTTCTATGCATTGTAAATGCATAGGCTGCTTCTGGGGTGCCACATTAGTGAGACCCAGTCTGCTAATATACATTACATATTGCCAATACCCTCATATGGTCCCCATTAGAAAGATTTCCCTTCACTTTCTGTCCAATAGCCACAACAGGAAGTGCCTTCAAAATGAGTGGATTCGCTGGTGGTCAACCTGTTTTGGTGACAACCTAGAATTTAGGAGTTTCTTTCACTTTCGATCAGCAGGACATACTTCCCTAAGGCCAGGTTCACACCATGTTTCTGGACCATTGCGTTTTGGCACGTTCTTGCCACGTTTTTACCGCGATGTTGCTGCATTCCAGAGCATTTTTTGTAAATGGGCTTTCAGGTGCAGTTCACAAGCTTTTTGTATGCATTTCCATGCTTTTCAGTGCATTCCAGACCAGAGAAAATGAGACAAGCAGTATTTTTTTTGTTTGGTCCAGAACAGACTGCGCTGGTGTCAGGGCCGGCCTTAGGCCTTTAGGCGCCCTGTGCGAGAAAGCTATGTGAACAGAGCCCAGACATTTCATAGGGATACATTGGGATGCTTTTTTGGTCTGGGAAGAAATTGTTCTGGACATGATCCGGACATGGTGTGAACAAGCCCTAAGGCCAGTTTCACACTATTTTTCGGACCAGATCTTTAACACGGTGCATTGCGTTTTGCCGCATTCTAACCAAAATTTTTACCGGAGCTGGATTTTTTTAAACTTAAAATGGGCTTTCAGGTGCAGTCCACTGCATTAGCATGCATTTGTATGTATTTCCATGCATTCCAGACCAGAAAAAATTAGAGAAGCGGTATTTTTTTTGTCTGGTCCGTAACAGCACTGGTGTGAACAGAGCCCACAAATACCATAGGGATACATTGGGATGCTTTGTTGGTCCATAAACAAACTGTTCTGGTCTGGACATGATCCAGAAATGGTGTGAACAAGCCCAAAAGGGACACGTACAGACTAAAAACTGTATCCAAAAAAAAAAGGATTGTTGCACTTTAATGGACGATAATATGAGACTTGACCATCTAATAATAGTATGTTGAAAGACTGACTAAGGGATAATTATTATATACATTAATACTATAGGCCAATGATATAAAACAAAGGTATATTAAAATGGCATTTGTTGAATCTCTGAACCTCTGTTTCTTTAGTATTCATTGGAGGCAGACAATACCCATTAGCCAGAATATATGTGGAAACCTAGGAACTCTGGGCTCAGAAATATAGTATTCATAATGTTAACACTTTTAATAGCTTTATTATATAGTGATATTAAAATAGGGATGTTTAATGTCAAAGTAAGAGCTGGAGTAATACACCTAGGAACAGGAATCAGTTGGACGTTGAGTAACAATTCGTTAAATAAGTGCTAACAGTAGTTTAAGTGAGGTTGAAGCAATAGTTGTTTAAAAATACTAATTAACTGGAGCATGCATTAATCTTTTTTATACTTTCTTTTTTTTTTTCCATCAGATATCATCTCCAGTTATCTTCTGCTTGGGGTCTTACTCCTGATCAGCATCGCTTTTTTATATGGCGTTATGGTGGTATGTGAATCATTTTAACCTTTAAAATTATGTCTTATGTTATAAAGAGCCCTGCTAAGCATTGTTTGTGCCTAGAGTAACCACAAAACAGCAAACTATTTATCTCAAAGAAAAAAAAAAGCTCTATAATAGATATATGCAGAGAGAGAGAGAGAGAGATGCACACACTATCTATATGACAGAGAGACAGAGAGAGCCTTTTGAAAGCCATCTTTAACATAAAAGGACAGTCTTTATTCACACAAAGGCTGACAATCAGTGCACTTCAAATAATAAGCTTTTCTTCAGCATACAGAGACACAACGTCCTTCTGTCTTTTATCAAAATTACATATTCTCATATCTCACTGGTTTCAGGTTGTCAGGTACATTCCCAGTGTCCCAGTCCCAGGATTGTACTGTATTTCTCCACATATACAGTCCTCAGTATCGCTCAGTAGCTTTCCTCAACTCCAAGTGGCTCACCACACACCTGTGTGACTCTGGCAACTCCACACCTCCCATGTGTCACTGATTCTTTTTGTCTGTGCAACAGGTCCCTCGGGTGCCACCAACCCGCTCGACCTCTCCCAGCCTCCCCTGGCAGTTTCAGCACACACCAGCATCTGCATATGTCCAAGTACCTCCTGCAAACCCACACACCAACAACTCCTAACTGAGCCCAGGTCTAGACTCATTAGGGCTGCTCTGAGCCACCTGATTGCTTCAGTCTGGTAATTGGCCACACCTGGCCCCAGGACTGGAGATTTCATCCCACCCAAAACTCTCAACCAGATGCGTAACTAGAACCTTCAGGGCCCCAGTGCAAGAAACCATGAAGGGCCCCCCCCACCAACCCCACGGCACTGCATGGTTAACAGGAAGGCTGCCGAGGTCCCCAGCAAGCGTGGGACCTCAGGCAGCTGCTTGTTTAAAATTTTAGTGCCGGTGTTCTGTCGAGAACTCTGACCCAGTATCTGCGCTTTTGCGTACAGATGGGATTAACGAGGAAACCGGCATTTATTTACAAAGTATTTTTTTGTAATTGTTAATTGTGACCGTTAATGATATGCCGTCCATGGCAGTAAATGATGGGTGGCAGGAAATGATGGACAGAATATTATTATCGGTCACAATTAACGATTTAAACAAAATACTTTGTGAATAAATCCCGGTTTCCTCGATAATATTGGTCTGTGTGTAAGCGCAGATGCTGAGGTCGGCAAACCCTCCTAGCTCTGCCCCTAAGAGGCGGGACCAGCTAATTCTCCGGGATCAGTGACCGCGTCTCCAGCCCTTTCGCACAACCGCCCGTACATGCTGCAGGTGGCTGTGCGACAGGTAAGGAGCGGCACGATCGCAGGGGGGCCCTCTACTTCCTTGCTAGTCCCCCCCAAGTGGCGGAACATCAGGGCCCGGTCGCAATTGTGACCGCTGCGACCCTGGTAGTTCCGCCAGTGCTCTCAACTCCTGCAAAACTATTTTCATCCTGGAACCTCTCAGCCCCTCTGGTTAGAGGCCTGGGTGTCAAAGCTGCCAAATTACACTGTAGCATTGCTTGGCAATGCTACAAAAAAAATTACATATATATAAGTCTAAATCAAGGATAACATAATGTTCATGTTTCAGTCATTGGGTGGCAATGGTCACTGCAGACATAGGAAACGCATACCTTCCACTGAATCCTAGTGATTTTTTAGGAGGAACTTGTTAATTTAGTTTTAGATGAAGTGTGAAAATGTATTAGTTGTCACCAGAACCAGGGAAATCTTCAACTGGGAATATGTTTTTTGGTGACAACTGTCTAGGAGAGGATCTTCCTCACTTGGAGAAATTTAATCTCACTCCCTGTTATATCTGAGAAAATTGGAAAAATCCAGTTAAATACACAGACAAAATACATACAGCTTGAGGGCCGATTATGGCCAGAATGCACTGCCTCGCATTGCGGCCGGCTCACTTTTTTGTGGGACAGAAGTGGGCGTGGTGGGCCATTGAAGTGAATGGGATCTGTAAACTGCAAAATCTTGCAAGATCTCAGGGAAAAACTTTTTTCCCCCTGAGATGATGTGCATGGTCACAAGTCCTAGTCACACATGTCAGAGTTCCAGGAAGTAAAGGGAGATGGATTAATCTGCCCTTAGTGGAAATGGCAACCATGAGAGAATGGGAAGGAAAAGAAAAATAAGTGCAGCTTTTTATTCTTTGCATACCTTATCTAAAATATTTGTTTGTAGATTGTCATTACTAAACATTTTCAATGGTGACTTTGTTGTCATGTTAAAGATATGGGTAAAGTTCCTCTTTGTGTCTTTTATATCTGCCTGGAGTTCAGCTTTAAAGTGTATTTCCACTTTTACAGTCAAATTTAAGAAAACCCCTCTTTATGTTCATTCTGTGTTCCTATTCCCACAGCATAAAGAATTTTTTTTTTAAATGTCTTACCTTTTAAGATGTTTTGTTACAGCAGACAAGATAGCCGAATCCAAGTTTTTCTCATCACCTACACAGTGATCTGTCCTAATGGAAAGGCTTAGGACTGAAACTTGAGAATTGTGTTTCTTTCATTCAGTTACTTAACATACAATAGACAAACCTCATCAGACCCCTCACACCCTCTCCTAACACAGAATTGCAAAGGAAGATAAGCAAGTAGAAATGTTAACCCTTAAAACCCTAACCCAAGTAAAAGCAGTTTAAACTGCAAGAAGCATTTTTTTTTAATATTTTTTTTAGCTTATGCTATGTGAATGTGGACATGTAACAAATATAAAATAGGTGTTATTCCAATTTGGCTGCAAAAGTGGAAAAACACTTTAAAGCAGGACACAGACAGACAATACATTACACTGGTTACTTGGTATATGGTGCTCAGAGGCATTAGATTACAATCTATTGACCCCAAAAAATGGAAAGACAATCTAATGCCCCATAGGTCACTTATAGCTGCCCCAGATGACTTTTGGTTCTTCCTGTGGACAGCTGGCACTGGGACTCTCTGTGTGCATCTTCTGAGCCCTGCTTCATTGTCCTAAAGAGAAACACACGCGACTTCCTGTTCAGGGCTGGATTGTGCATGTATGTCTTGTCTGTTTATTACTGTTATTGGCAAACTTTCAGTTACTAGCTCATTTGCATATTCATTTTTTGACGAAATACACATTATACTAAGCACTGCATGATTCTAAGCTGTAGATGAGCTTTAAATTGTATTTCCACTTTTTGAAGCCAATTTGAGATATTGCCTACTTTATGTTTGCTACATGTTCTCATTCACAAAGCGTAACTTAAAAAAAAATAGCTGCTTACTGTTTTATATACTCTTTTCTGAAAAATCCAGGACTGAAAAATTCTACTTTCAGATAATCCTGATGTCATTATCAATTGTTAACTAGATGTGCAGGACTGTCTGTCCTCACGAAAGGTCAAAAAATCTCAAGGCCTGGGTGGTACATTGTACGTTAATGCACTTTCAAAAAAACTGTCCCTCAGTTTGTCCCTTATCCCCACACTGACAATTTTTTTCAAGCCAATAGAAACAATCCTTCTCCAAAGAAACAACTAAAAAAAGGTAATTAATATATTTTTTAATTATTTGTAGATATGCTGTGTGAATAGGATCACATAACAAACAAAACTCCTATTTGACAGCAAAAGTGGAAATAAGTACTTTGCAAGACTTGGTCCTTATAAATGAACCTACATTTTAAATGTTTGGAAAATCTCTTCTGCATGGTTCAGTTGAAGAATCACCTAACTAAAATGTAAATTTTATTCAAAAATACACTGAATTGAGCTAAAGAAGTTTTATCACAAGGCTCAGATCTCAATGTATATGTGTCTGAACACATCTGTTAGTGTCTAGGTGCCTAATTAGCTCTGGTTCTGCAATCATTAAAATTGGCAACATGATCTTGGGATTTGCCAGTCAGAACATCTTTATACAGTAAATTAAATCTCAGCATCGTGTTTTTTTTACACTGTATAAAAACAGAAATTGAAGCTCTTTTTGCTTAAAAATGCTTTAGGGAATACACTTAAAGTGACATTAAACGCAGGAGTTAAATCTTACAAATACATTCAAGTACCTTAACTATTAACAAAACTGTATCTTATTTGTGTATCATTCAGCTGTAGATCCTCAAATCATCTCTGAATTGGTGCTGACACTGTCCTTCCTTTTGGCTTCTTTTGTTCTCTATGGTCCCTGTGTATGCTGTAAAGTAGCCACCACCCCAAACTCGCTCCCATGTCAATCCCATGACAGTGTCAGTTGAAGGGACAGCTGTGTTTTCGAATATAGCCACATATATGTGAGGAATGTCTCTTTAAAATGAACACATTTTTATTTATGGTTTCTTTCTTTTTCCTGTGTTTTAGAGCCGGAGATACTTGGTTATGCCATTTTTGGCTTTGCAGGCAATGGATTTCATCCTAAGTTTTCTGATGTTCTGTAGTATTTACGGCGAAATGCCTTCCAGCCATGCATCTATCACTGATGACAAAATGGTAGGTGATATTCTCCAGCACTGTTATCAGTACTCACTTATTGTGTGTTTACTTTATCTACTATAACTACTGCCTACTACATTATTTTCAGGTAATTTCCGAACCTGACACTCAAGATACAGTGCGCAAAGTCTGTGAAATGGGTCTTAGACTGATGACTTTCTGTAGCTGCTTTGTGGAAGTGCCAACCTACCTTGATCTCAAGGCTATAAGCTACATGGTATGTAATTAGCAAAAGTTTACTTTATTTCTAAGACACAGGGAGGAAAGGGGTTTTTATGTAAACCCTAGCTTGGGTTCATGCCATCTCCTCAATAAGATAAAGAAGAATTTCCCAATTTTTAAATGACCCTTTACTTTGCTGGTTATTTAAAGTAAATACAAGCTAAGGTGGAAACTACACCTTTTGGAAATAAGCAACAGGACTTGAACCATCGGTTGTTTACTTTATACAAAGCTGTTGTAGATATGCTAATAGGACAGTGTCAAATTATATTATGTTTAATGAGTAAGAAATATTTACATTATAATGATAAATGTTGTTATTCGTCATCATCCTCAGCTGTCTGAGAGTCATGACTTCCTTTAGTAGCTTTCTCCTTTCTTCTGTGTCCTTGACCATCACCTGCTTCCAATCTTGAATTTCATCCAAACATCATGCTCTACCTGTTAAATATGACCAACGTATTTTTTAAAGATTTAAAGTGACACTAAACTCAGTAGTTGATTCTTAAAAATGCATTTAAGTACCTTAATTGTTAACAAAACTGTATTGTATTTATGTATCACTCGGCTGTAGAGCCTCAAATCATCTCTGAATTGGTGCCGACACTCTCCTTCCTTCTGGAGGGTGACTACTTTTATTCCCCATGGTCCTTGTGTGTGTTGTAAAGTAGCCACTGCTCTAAGCTCACTTCTGTGATGGACTACAATCTCATGTTTTGTTTACAAATTTGTATTGAGATTGTAGTCATCACAGAAGCAAGCTTGGAGCAGTAGCTACTTTACAACACACACAGGGATCATGGGGAACAAAAGTAGCCACCCTCCAGAAGGAAGTACAGTGTCAGCACTAGTGTCCGGTTCAAATTCGAACTTTCGAACATGGGGGAGTTTGTATTCGAACTCGAACTCAACGCAAGTCTATGGGGGGTAGAACACTGAAAACCAAATGTCCATATTTTGAAACCTTATGTGCATTTTATTAGCCATAAAGGTGTATGGGGATCTGGGAACTTCCCTGGGGGACAGGAATCACTGATAAAAAAAAACTTTTAAAAAATACAGTTTTTAAAGGAGCAGTGATTTGTATTGATAAAATACAGATCACTGCTGTTCGCCTATTCACTTCAGGCTTGTATGGCTAACTTCAGCCATACAAGGGTTAAAATCAGCCGTACATCGTCTTGCTTAGGCTGGCTTCGGTTTGGCCAAACATGCATGTTTGGCTGTGCCGAAGTGCAGAATGAGTTCGACTCAGCCGATCCAACATCTGGATCAGCTGAGCCGAACCTCCGGCAGGCTACTCGCTGCCTTTCGGCCTATTCTCATTGGGGCCAAACGGCAGTGAGTGAATAGACGAATGCTGCCGAGCGGCATCCGGCTCAGCTATTCTGCTCGGTACCTACGTGGTACAGAGCAGCATAGCAAATCAGTGCAAAAAGTAGGAAAAAAAAGAAAAGACATTTTTTTTTTTAAAGGTAAATAAATGATAAATCTTAAAAAATAAATAAATAAAGATTTCCAAAAAAAACAAAATAAAGATTTAAGAAAAAAGTAAAAAAAATGAAAAAACTAAAAACAAAAATAAAGATAAGTGAACAAAAACAAACAATTGGGCGGAGCTAGCAGTAACAGCTACGGCTGATCCCTCGGCTAGCTTTGTGAATAACCCTCTATATCTTTCATAAAGGTTGTATTTCTCCACATTGATCCCCACATTCTGTTTTCAAGTATGCTTCCCTTTGTTCCCCTAAGCACCTTCCTATCAAATACATCTACCCTTGATGTGACCAGATTCAGCTTTATACATGGCAGCTGATCTTATAAGAGTTTTAAATAGCTGAACTTCTCAAAAGTTTGGATTTCAAGTTCTTTTAGCATGAGGATCTGTGGCAATCATTACACATGCTTTAATTCCTCCATTCTCTGAATGTACCTTTATACATTTAAGAGAAATATGTCACCTGCTCGTATTTATATACCCTTGCCTTTAGAGGTGTGAGCAATGGTGCTCCATTGCTTTCAGTTATGGTCAGGTACTTTTTTTTTTCCTGATTAGCCACAAATCCTATCTTGATGGCTGCTTTTTCCAGTGCCTTGGAACATGGATTTGTGTGTTCTCATATCTTTTAATTATATCTGTTTCATTAAAATACCTTAAAATCTGGTTTGCGTGCCCACCTTTCTAAATCTTTCTCCAGTGCCACATAAAAGAGAAAGCATGCCAATGCATCACCGTAGTTCAATCGATTAAAGCAGATAAAAACCCCAATCAACAAAATGTCATTTAACATGGAAATGTCACTTCAAAAGTAATTTTTTATAATTCTAAATCTTCGCTATATTTAAAATAATGCCTGGCTATCCTGCCATTAAGGTATTTGATCAGGCATATCCTGTTATGGAGTGACAATGTTTTGTCTCTGTTGGGGTGACACCCCCTGGCAGGTGACACAGGCTCACCTGGGGTGCAGAGTCTAAGTACCAGACAGTTTTTACCAGAGCTCCTGTTGGTGGAGATGGGCTGAGCTGCTTGCTGGCACCAGGTCGCGGTCCCCAGGATTGCCCTGCCAAAGGATGAAAAAAAACAGGAGGGCTCCAATGAGGAGACAGTAGTCCAGAGCGTGATCGGGACACGGCAGATGTTTCAAATGGAGATAACCAGAGAATGATCAGATGGGTCAGCAGTCAGAAGAGTAAAAAATAGTCGTATCCAGGCAGGCAGCTAGCCGAGAGTGGTCGAACGGTCCAAGGTCGGCAACAAGTAGTCAGAAGATAAATGCAGGAGTCAAGAGCTATGTCGGGTCCAGGCAGAAGATCAGGGCAGGCGGCAAGTGAAGAAGGGTCAGACTGTCCGGGTCAGCAACAGGAAACAGCAGTAGTATTAAGCTCTTTTACAAACAGGAAGCTGGTAAAAAGACACTTAAATACCCCTCTGAATCACAGGTGACACTCCCAGCATCACCTCAGGGTACTCTGAATGTCCTGGTCTGGAATCTGTGGCTAGTATTAGCCATGCTGGCCTGGATCCTGTGAGAGCCATTAGAGGTGCTGGCAGAGCTCATATGATCATCATCAGAGGTACTGGCGGGTCTTCTGAAAATCCTGGATGGGATTCTCAGAGGAGATCGGTAAAACCCGGCAAGTACTCTGAGCTTACCATAACAGTCCATGTCTCCTAATTGGGTCCCTGCATTGTCATTCAGTCACAGAGACTTCCTATAGAGACTACAAGCGATCCAGTGCGGCCGATCACATTGCGGCCGGAAGGCGTGGCTATGGTGTCATTCACTTCAATGGCCTGCCACGCCCCCTCCTGCCCCACTAAAAAGTGAGCCGGCCACAGTGCTAGGCAGTGCGTTCTGGCCAGAATCGGGCCGGAATGCACTGCAACTGGTGTGAACTGGCCCTGAGAGATGTCATGTAGGTGAAGGGATCTCTGGAATACATGCATGCAGAGGCTGTAGGAGATCAGCATCACTCAGATAAACCAAAGGATGAACAAAGGGTAAAAGAATGGTAATTGTCATAGACGGTGCTTTAGCAAACAAAATGTCTTTCATTTACAGTTTATATCTGCTTCAATAATACTCAGTAGCTCCAATAAGAAATAATGTGTAGCTTCTCTCTATGACCTGGCATGGCCAAGTTGTACCATTCAGATTAGTTTTCTGTTATGCCAACTTCCCAAATGGCCAAATACAGCTGTTGTGATTGGATTAAAATTGGATGAATGGCCTTTTTTTATTTTCAGATATGTAATTCAACCGAACAAAAAAAGTTAAAGGTTTTTCTCCATTATGTTGCAATCTCAGATATAATAAGCATGTTCATTTTGATGACATTCTTTTCCAGAATAAATGAGTAAAAAAATCTTTATAAATGTCCTTGTGGTTGTGAATAAGTATATTGAGGACACCATCAAAAAGTTTTCCAAAGCACATATTCCTGCTGGTCAGTTTAAAGGCAAGCTGATTCTTGAGTTGAAGCCTCCCTTCCTCATTAGAATTTGAACATACACGTGTCCTTAATCTGCAAATAGCTAGGTAGATGCTGAGTAGTGCAGGAAGCAAAGTAACAATGGTCCCATTATTCTGAACATTACACAAGTGTCAATCATATTGCACTACAGGTGCCAGGATTGCTAGCCCCTAAAATTACCTTTCAGGCACAGCTGTCCTGCTATTGTTATGGGTTTTTTTTTTTTACTTATGCATATGACATGAAGTGCAGCTTTTATATAGCTTCTGCATTAAGCACCTATCTCCTACACAGTTATATGGCAAACAACTAGGTTTATCATGGACACTGTTCATTGCACTACAAGGCATGCTCTCTATTTTAATGTAAGTGCAAAAACATATTTAAGAGCTATATCAAATATTTAAAGGAGAACTATGGGGTTAAGGCTTTTCCCCATAGTTCTCCTTAGGGTAACGGGAGGACACAAACTAGCGTCCTCCTGTCACCCTAGGCTCAGTGTACCGTGAGCTGCTGCTTGCGGTATACTAAGACACTGTAGCTGAAGCGAATCCCCTGGATCCGCCCAGCTGCGTGACTGACAGCTGGCTCTGCCTATATAGAGGCAGAGCCAGTTGTACCCGTCCCCTCCCGTCCGTTCCGCCAGTCAGCGCTGGCGGATCGGAGCGGGGAGGGGGGAATCCAGCCCCTCCCCTGTCACGGCAAAAAGACGTGACAGGATCGAGAGATGAGCGAACGCCGGTTTGTGTTCGCTCACCTCCAGATCTACTGAGCCGACCTGTGACATTTCATTGTCACAGGTCGGCTAGAACTATGAGGTGAGTGAAAAACACTCACCTCATAGTTCTCCTTTAAGCATACGTAAGAATTTAGTATTTACTGGGATAAGCATGCTCACATCTACCTAAAACATCGGGACATTTAGGTGATATCAGCAATTTCCAAAGGTAAAAAATATCCACCATCACTACAAATTCGGTACTGAATGCAAACTGTGTAATCCTCTATGCAATGCAG